ATATATATATATGTATATGTAATTATATATACATATATATGTATACCTATATATATATATATATGTATACATATAGACATATAGATAAAAATATATATATATATATGCAGTTTACACGATCTACGCCGCTCTACACTCTGTGTAGTCGCTTCCTGAATCAACCATCTCCACGTCAGACGCTAGGCCCCAACCTCCAAAGACCATAATAGATCTTGACGAAAACTTGAGAGGAGAACACCTTGGTTTCAGTTGGCTTCATACGTCACGAATGCCTCAAACTCAAGCACAGAACGGCAATTGCCTGACTTTTTAGCCTGAAGCACGTTCGTCGTAGTTCTCACTACCGGACTTTCGGATGGTATTGCAACTGCGATCCGGAATCGGATTCATGCGATTCTTGATGATAGGAGCGTTCCAACCGATTCGCTTATCAATAGTCGTGCGCTTAGGGAGCAACGCAATCTGTGGGGCTAGGGCTGTGGAGTTGAAGCATGAAGGATTGACAGGTTCAATATGCTTTAGGCATTGCGAACGCTAAGCACGGGGCACCCTGGGCCTAAATATACACATCCACACCCCGGAGCGTCTGAGAAGGATACCAGCCTGCCGCAAGCCAAAAGGGACACTGCCCGCTGCCAGGAGCATCCCGAAATCGCCTTTCAACTTGGTCTGGAACTTAGCTCAGCTTCAAGCCTACTCAGCTACTAACGAAGTATTCGGACCTGCTAGGGTTCTCCAGACTCCAGACATTCTGAATTCCCACTGCTATACTATACTGGACATACTTGATGGGCTCTGCAGTAGGAGGCGAATAGCTGCATCTCTAAACCTGCACTGAAACTCTAGAGCCTACTAAATTCTGCAAAACCCAAAGCTCAACCACCAAGGCACAAACCCTTCTTGTGACCAAGCCACCGCATTGTAGGCTGCTGTGCTCGACGCGAGGCGTAGGCGCTCGAAGTGGCCAAGCAGATGCAAGGCCTGACCAAGAGAAACACTGGACAATCGCTGCAGGTGAAATAGCGATAGCAATAAAGGACATGATGCAAGCAAGAAGGTGGCTGATGGTTATGATGATGATTACTATTCGTCGTCGTCGTCGTCGTGGTCGTCCTGGTCGTCGTCGTGGTAGTAGTAGTGGTAGTAGTAGTAGTAGTAGTAGTAGCAGCAGTCGTTGTCGTTGTCGTTGTCGTTGTCGTGGTATTGGTATTAGTAGTAGTAGTAGTAGTAGTAGTAGTAGTCTTGGTGGTGGTGGTGGTGGTGGTGGTAGTAGTAGTAGTAGTAGTAGGCGCACCCCCTACCAACTACACTTGCTCAAGACCATCTTAAGAGCACATCCGTTTTATTCGGTATTTGCAGCACTTTCGTCATGTACGATCATCATAAGAAGCCTCAAAATCGACTTGCCGAGTTTGCAAACTCGGCCTCTTGATTTTGGACTTGCTTCTGGGGGGTTTGGGGGGTTGGGGAGGGGGGTGATACGACAGTGTCACGCAAACACAACCAACAATATCACCACAAGGGCCATTTTACTCGTTATTTACAGTACTTTCGTGATGTCGGACTTTCTTATATAGTCGCCACCCCTGCTTCTGGACTGTGCGTCTTAAACTTTGGTGTTTCGCAAGCCTTGCAACAAAAGCTCGAATTTGGGTGGGGGAAAACTTTTTCGGTGATGATCACGACACTGTTTCGCGGACCCCCCGAACTATATATCCACACCCTAGCGCGCACACAGTACATAGCACTTCAAAGGTAAACCCTGCTATGCCGAGGTCGGGGCTTTAAGGGTGTTGGCGAGCTCCTCCCACGTACAGCTGGCATCTTTGTTTCTGATGTTTATAAAATGTTGCACTTCAGGCTTTAGGAGTGTTAAAGACGTTCTTGGCAGCGCTTGCGTTTTGCACGGTATTTACAGCATTTTCGTACTATCGGACCACCTGTGGTTGAGCAATCTCTTCCCTGTCGAGTTTGCAACTCCAATTTCTGTCGCAGTTTTGTAGCCTGATCCTCTCCAACCTCACCGGTTGTGACGGTTAAGGAAAGTCAACCCTTGGCAGCTTCTGCACCTGTCACAGGGAGCCTGAGCCCCTGCGTCTTTTGCACCTGTCGAAGTCACGGACCCTAGAAGCTGCCACTACCCTGCCCGGATGGAGCACGTGTAGTTGGTAGGGGGGGTGGCTAGTAGTAGTAGCACCATTAGTAATGATAGTAACAAAAGGAGACGGTATCATTAACAAAACTGTTGATGACGATGGTTATGGGAGATAATCATGCTTGTTACTGGGATCATGAAAGAGATAGCTGTTGCATCATATATCCAGCACGGCTTTAGAAGCAAGGCCTGTCCTTGCATCAACATGCAGACGCCTTGTCAGCATCTCGCAAAGATCTACCAACAAATCGGCGCCCGAAGCATCAATTGAAGGTTCCGGCGTTGAGGGTTTAGGGGTTTGGAATTTGCGTCCCGACTATGGACATGGGACAACGGAAATTAGCCTCAGCCCTGAACCGTACTAGGGGCCTTTGCATGACCCAGGAATGCCGGGTGCGAGGGGCATGGCTTCCTCAAGCTGGCGAAGTGCTACTACGGCAGCCAACTCTTGCATCTTGCACGGCTAGGGGCTTTGAGTCAGTGGTCGTTCTGCAAGTTTAACCTTTAGAAGGGTTGAGCGGCTACTGTGACTATGAGGTCTAGACAGCTTCTTTCTAAGGTTCGCATAACCCTAAACCCTAAACCCTACATCAAGCTTTGTGGGTAGGCATTGGAGGTATGGTAGCACTGACGGTTTGGGGTTCTTGGTATAATTGTAGTGTAGTATAGCCCAAAACCCCATTCTATTTAGTAAGGTCCCTACATTAGGCTCCCTAAGGGTCCAAGACGGGTTCAGGGTTTAGGGGGTAGCGGTGTAGGTTAAATTTGGGAGAGCATGTGGGCAGTTCTATAAATTAGGGCCCCTTTTAGCATCCTGGGGACCTTGAACGGGACCCTAACCCAGAGAACTACCCATATGAGTATTAGGTACTTGGGCCCCGAGGTGTCCGCTCTGATTTCAAGCTGCAAGCCAAACACGTAAGGACAGAAGAGCTGAGTCATGGTTATTTAAGTTGGGGCCTGGGGTTCAGGGTTTGCAGCATGAACTAGTTTATTGTAATGTGCACCTACACCGACGTATCATGCAGCATCATTTGGGAAAAGGTGCTTTGGATCATTGTTTCCAACTCACACTTGAGTTTGCCTGGTCACCGCGATGCCTGACACCGATGTTTCTTCATGAGTCAATGAAGTTCCAGAGAGAAGTCAAGACTAATTCTTGGCGTTGTTTTGGTTGGCTCTTAAGACTTTAAATGTTTGGGCTTCTATATGAACCATAAAAGGGAGCTAAAAGTTTAACTTTTAGGAGGGGTTCAGAAGTCAGCCAAGCATTGGCAAGGAAGTTGAGAAGCTCAGGTACTGGTACACCGTGATGCCATCAGCAGACTACGTTCCCAGATCGGAGGTGTGGCAGCGAGAAGGGCGATGATGCGACACGAGGAGACTTCGAGTACACTTCCTGCAAAGGGCACGCTTAGCCCAAGACATGAAGTGCACGAACTTTGAGCTGAGGTGCCCAACTGTATACAGCTCTGGTCCTCTGCTGCCTGAGGAATCGGTTTAGGGTCCAGGGTTTAGGGTATATACTCCGATACTCATGTATCTTGCTCACAGACTGTGGAGGCACAGGGCACTGGACATGCCGAGCGTTCATGCTCATAGCTATTGACATCCGGGCTCCCAAAGGGAGAGCGCTGGCTGTCGTTTTTCCTGCTTTCAGCTAGCCGCAACTTTTAAACACACCCCCACGGGTCCAAAGGACGGAATAATAAGGTACTCTGGTTACGGATAGTAGGTATCTAGGTAAATTAAACATTTGGGAGGTTGCATGATTATCAAGCTACTTGGACCCTGAGGGCTCGGTATGCACTGACTCATATGACATAGCAGCATAGCATGAGCCACAATGGTCGTTTTGGGAGTTGTCTGTCGGCTGCCGTCAGTTCTGCGTAGCGCCACCCCTGAAGCCCAAACACCAGGCTTCGTAAGGGTTTAGGGTTTAGGGTCCAGGGTTTAGGGGTTTAGGGTTTAAGGTTTAGGGTTTAAGGAAGACCGCGACAATCCCGATGACTGCTGCTGCGTCTGCTGCCTCTGACACTTTGTCCTGCAGCTGCTGCTGCTGCTGATGGTGATGATGCTGCTACTAAACACGGTGTCATCGTTCATAGCCGCGATAATGATTATAGAGTCATAAAACGTAATGACAGCCATAATCAAGATTCAATATACTAACTCCGACGACGACGTCGACTAGTACTGCCACTTCTTCACTTCTACTGCTCTGACGACGAAGCTACCAGTGCCGCAGTGCGCATGACCCAGGCTTGTGACGGTGGTGGGCTCTCCGAACAACAATCATCTGTCAATGCTGCTCCTAGACACTACGGGTTGGCACAGGGAAGGGGCCCAGTTCATGGATTGAGCTGCATGCAAGACGAGGAATTCCAGCTTCCAGGCGCTAGGACAGAGATGGACAGCGTGTGCGTAAGCCGGGATGGGTCACAACAAAGATTGCAGAGGGTTTTGAGTATCCGTCCATCCATGCTGGCCAGTTAGGACTCTAGCACGGCATATGATATGTCGTAATTTGTGAAGAGCCCGAGGTTTGTAAACGGTTCTTGTGGGTGTGATGGTGTGATGGTGAGTCTTGGCATGTGGGCAGCCGACTACGGCCGTTGATGGTGCTGTTTCCCCCCTAAACCCTAAACCCTAAACCCTTAGGAGCCGACAGCCCTACAGTCGAATTCCAAAGCCTTACGCCATGTATGGGCAGTTCTCTATATTAGGGTCCCTCTTAGG